AATTCATACTACAATCTCTGGTATGCATGTCTCTGATGAGTCTCAGCGCAGTCCGCGAAGAAACGCGTTTTGTCATCCTCCGTGGCCCCTTCGAGGCCAAAACCACAAATACCAACATTCCCGCCCTTCCTTTCTTCCGCCTGCTGTGCGCTTTTGTATACACATCCCCCCGAGCGCCATACATATTTCGAGAGACGTTCCTGCGCGCACAGAACGGTGGCGTCTCACGTATGTGCAGGAAAGTGGCTTGGTGCTCGAGCTCACTGCTGCATCCCGAAGATGTGCTGACCCAGCGTCACAGCGCACGGATCGTCCGCCACAAATGCGAGCACGAACCGTTTAAACACGTCGTCGGCGCGCGGTGGGGGCCTCCATTGCCCGCGCTTCGCAGCTGCGCAAGCTGCTCGGTCGTCGCGTCGCCGCGAGGTCGGATGCGGCACCCTCCGACATGAGCTGGAGTTTGCGCGTTGATGACGCCGCGGGCAGCCCTCAAATCACGGACGAATTCTCCTTGCAGCACCACCCCCATGCGTGGTGAGTTTCAGTTCGATACGGGCGATATGTACTCTGATTTTTCTTTGGTCATGTTCTCACTGGCAATCACACGAAGTCGTTCTTCACGGCTTGCCCTCGCGTTCAATTGCCACTGCCTTCTTTGGCACACACATACCCGTGGACCAGTGCGAACATCTCGTTCCGCGTCCGAGTCCTCGCGCACCCGAACATCTTGTATTTCGACGATCGCGCGAGGCTCGATGTTGCCTCCCCAGATTTGGCGACCTCCTCAGAGCCATCGAACTCCCGCGTCGACTTCGCTTCGGGCCGCTTCGAAAATACAGGCCAATACTCCCTGAGCTAGAACGCACATCCCATGTGAGTTTCAGCGCAATCCGGGCAAAGGTCCATTGTCGCGAAGGTTTCTAACACTGCCATGTGCAGAAACGGGCGAAGACTTAGACACCTGCGCCCTGTCCGTCCCTGCGAGCCCCCTGCGCGACGGATTCACTCGGACACGCTTGTGGGCGTGTACGTCCCGCTCCGCCGCATGTGGATGCGTGGTCACGGACTGGACGACGCCGGCGCTGTACCCTTACACCTGTATTCGCATGTCCGGCACGTCGGTCGGACCCGCCCGCTCGAGTGTCATACATGCCACACCGGAGACACTGTCCATGCTCGGGGTGCGACCCGAAGATGCAGGGAACACCATTCACGAATGCGCTGGGCACGTCATTGCTGCGCTCGCAGCCCGTCGCTCACCGGCTCTCAGCACCTGGCACGCCACCTGCACCATATTGTCCTCACCCTTACATACGAGCGACCGGCACTGTACTAGATACTGCAACTATATATTTGGTACTTAGTAATGCTGATGCTAGTGTCTGCATAAAACCTCGGAGCAACACTGCTCACGGCCAGTGTACGAGTCGCTTCGGGGGTGCGAGTGAACCGTCGGCGTGCATGCCAATTCTCACTGAAAGGGTACGAGCAGCTCAGTGCTCCCACATCACGTACAGACATGGTGCATTCCTTGCACGTGGTGCATGATTGCTTACCCACACTCGAGAGCACGCTGCCGGTGTGGGTATCCCAAACATATCCCCAGGAGTGGCCCTGGTCCAACCGGAATGACCGCAATCTGGATTCAGAAGCCCTTCAACCTGCCCAATTTGTCACCTACATCGCTACCGCCGATGATGGACATGATCACATCCATCTGCTGCCGGGTCTGTGAAACGTCGGGGATACCGGCGAGGACAATGAGTGGAAATGTGCCAGCCTGAAATAGGAGGATAACAAATTGTCGGACAGGCCTCGCGGCCGGACACGAGCAGTGTCGCGAGTTAATGCAGAGGGTGCAGCCCCAACACTAGGATGCACATTGCCACGTCTTAGTGGATGCCGCACATACAAATTCTAAATGAGCCCAGAACACCCGGCGCCCGCAGTGGCCCGCAAAGGGAAATGTGTGTACCTGCAATGCCTTTGTTTGCGTGCGCCGTACCGAAAACGAGCGGCAGACACGGCACTGGCTGCGCTTTCCGGGAATGTGAAGTTGCTTGGCCCGACCGAACACGATGTGCTCGTACATTCCAGAGCGGTAGATGCCAGGCGGTGATGGCCGGACTTTTTTCCAGGGAGTCTCATCCGCACTATTCACAGTGGTTGCGGGAAACTCTGTTTATGATCCAGGATTATCTGTGAGCACGGCACAAATGGCGAGGGATACTTTTGTGTTCTGACATACCTCTGGCTTGTTCACTCCTGGTGTCCGAGGATGGCACGTGCGAGTAAAAGAGCCAGATCTCTGTATGCGCCTAAATCTGCAGAATATACGGATCAATATCTGTTGCCCCAGCTCACTCGGGCGGCCTACAGGCTACGGCGAAGCGTGGGGAAGCTCATTTTGGGATTGCAACCTGCCACGCTCAGGCAAGCACACTCACCCTCTTCGCTTCCTCGCAGCCTGCCCGTCACGGTTGTCAGGGTGGGACGACGTAAGTCCTGGGGCCTGGCAGGATCAAGGCGGCTTTGGCGGTGGTGGAGAGCTCTGGTTAGCCTGCTGGTTTCCCGTGACTCAGTGCGACTTGCATGACCAGTTTTGTATGCACATTTCAAATTATACCCGCATATTTAGCATATTCTTGAGCGATGTTGCCAGGGGTGTCCATCATGAGTGAGCGAGGAGGCGGTCGAGATGAAGGATTCGAGGAAGCAGCGTTGGGCGCCTCTCGCGAGCCTGCCTTCCCAATCCGGCAGTAACGTCCACTGGACGAGATCTGGGCGTCTGAGCGCTGTTCCTTCGTTTTGCTCTCTTGTCGCACGCTGGGCCTCCCGCAACTCATACTCGCCTAAATGCGCGCAGGGCGACGCACTCTATTATTCGGAGTCTTCTCCACGTTCTGGCACCTCAGCCACCACTCCAAGAACTCGGACTAGCTACGATCGACTACCGGAAACCTCTACCGGCATCAGGCTCGGCCCAGCACGCACAGCCGAGATTGAGCGTGGACTGGTTTTAGCGAACGGTCAGTAAATATTCTGCTGCATTGGGATCCACGCACGCAAGGAGCGGAAGATGTCAGGGCTGTGCGAGGCCTGCAAGTTCGCGAGGAAGACGGTCAATTGCACTGCGGCGCCGTCTTTCCCGACTGAACTTGCGTTGGACGGTGTCCCTTTTGAGTAGCTGAAAACACGTCGATCTCGGGCACGCTCAGGCTATTTGAGCGACTACTTATAATATTGAATATGATTCACGGCTTGATTCCGAGGTGGAGGGCCCGGCATCTCAAGATCGTAGATTCGAAGCGCTCACCTGCCCAGGTATATGGGGTTCACACGTTCACGGCGCGCCAAAGGATCACTCGAATCGACATCCCCCCCCATCCGCCTTCCTTTCGCTGAGCCTGCCGTCTCCGGTGCGCCCGTCCCCGTCCCCGTCCCCGTCGTCTCCCGTCCCCACCATCTCCCCGCAAATTCTCCCGTTGTGCCCGCCGTCGAGCTCCCGTATACATGCCCGTTCTTCTGCATACCCCTTCGACTTGGCACACTATCCACGGCGTGTACGTCTACACAGTAAGGGATGTATTAGGTGAGTAGACGACTTCATTTGGCTCGTATGTACGTGTGTTCTGCGCGGAAATATGGCACAATAATCACGTTGTACGCGTTCTGACAGCTGTGACGAGCGCCGCGGCGGGATCTCCGCGTTCCTGCTCACCCTATCTAAGACGAGTCTGCTATATTGCGCCTTGCTGCAGGGCGGATAGGTCGAGGGTGCGGTTGATGGCTGCTTGACGCAGGTCGCGGCAGCCGCCCGGATCACATCGACGACCTCTATGTCCAGATGCGGAGGCGCCGCCGACGCTCTACGGCACGCCCAAGGTACGTCCTCGCGTTATTTTGTACGTTGGGCGCAACACTGAATTCGAGTCTTAGCAGCGCGGGCACACGGGCGAGCTCCTCAGCAGCCTTGTTTTGCGGTTCGCTCTTTGCGTGGCGGTGTTCTTTGGCTCGTGCGGGGTTCTCTGCCGGCAGGCCACTGCTCGGATGACATCGACACACTCCGCACGTGGAGACGGACACGCCACGGCCCCTTTCATTCCGAGGTCTACGGTATCTGCTAAGGTATGTGTCCTTCTTTTGCGGGCTGTCTGAGACAGCACTGATTTGACTTGTTTGCAGCACACGCACACAGGTGAGAGCCGGGGCCGCATGTCTCTTGCGGCGTGTTTCCAAGTTCGCGCACGAAGCTCCGAGTCGGGCAGCGCGCGCCGCTGTCCGCCTTCGGGGAACGGTGAAACTCACGTTCTTTCAGCGCGTAGGGCGCGGGTTGACGGCTTTTAGGACGGCTTATGCCGCCAGTTGTCGGTGCAGCCACTACGGGGCTGCACGACACAAACGGCGCCCGTTTTCAAGTTCGCGCGAGCGCCTATTTGGACGCGGACGAATTTACGTCTGTGCGCAGCACACACTCTACGCTGTGTCTGCGAGCCGGCGCCGATCCATATGTCGACGAGGACTGTGTATTCTGACGAAATATATTTGTGTTTTGTCCGTGTCTACGCCGTCCCCCCGGTGTCCTCCCGCTCTCTGCCGCCGCTCGACCTCCTACCCTCGAACCACCGCCCAACGCCCCGCGGTTGCACGCCCGCGCGGACTCGTATACCAGAGAATAAACTGTGTATTCATTGTGAAATCTATCGACATAATGTACATGTTTGCGGTGCCCGTGTCTCCCCGCCTTCCCGCTGCTCTCCCACCGCCAAACCACACCCCGCCACTCTCCTACCATGTCCTACCACCCTCCCATACTTACGGATTATTTCCCCAGCCTCTCGCCCCGCACTCGCGGCCCCCCGCGCCGCCGCGCCGCTGCCCGAGCTCGGACCCGACCGGTCGCCGTCACGGACCAGTCGAGGTACATCAGGTGACTGAGCGTGCTAATGAGCTCCGTCTGCGCAGGCGTCGTCTCGTGCATCGTGAGCGCGGCGTCGACAAAGTCGTGCGGGCCGGGCACGGGGAACGCGAGGCGGTGCGCGAGCGCGACCTGTACCGCGGTGCGGAGCTGCTCCTCGCCTTCTTCCATCTGCTTCTTGAGCAGAAAGTAGATTGCGAGCAAATATCGGATCTGGATCTCCGTAACGGGGTCTGCGTCCTCCAGCGCGATCCAGAGGTGATGTAGCTGCTCGAACTCGACCTGTGGGAAGACGAAGATGTGCCGCTGCACCTGCCACAGTAGGCACCCGAGTAGCTGCGCGACGTATGTGAAGGACGGGTGCACGGCGACGCCGGAGAGGTCCCCCGCGAGGATTGCCTGCAGTTTCTCAGTCGAGAGCGTGCAGCCGCACTGGCGGGTGTGCTCGGTGAAGACGGCACGGCTATGGGGAGAAGGGGTTAAGGTGGCTGCATACGGGGATAGGGTTGAGTGCTCACAATTCTTCGAGCCCTTGTGGGATGGCGGGGGTAGAGATGCTATGCAAGTCAACGACAGGGGAGGGTGCGGCAATGTGACTGAACAGCTCGTTGAACGCCTGAGGGAAGTTGTACAGAGAAGGCCCGTTCGTTGGTGACGAGGGCATAGACATGGATTCGTGGAGCTGCGACGTCGACGCTGTCGGCTGGCCGTTATGGTGGCCGTTATGAGGTAGCACATGGGACACTGGAGAAGTCTGTCTGAGCCGAGGTGTTGGCTAATGTAGTTTGAGAGTATGTTCACGGACCTCGTAACGCGGATATCTCGCTTTCGTAGATGGCTAGACGGTGCTCCAGCTCATGTGTGCGCATGAACAGGGCTTCGGTCAGCGTCCGCTCA